GTGATAACAGCTCATTCTCGAAAGGAAGCTTACCCGCTCACGCTAGTCACGATAAAAATCATACACGTGTACTCTTGAATAGACAGACGTCAATGACTACGGTAAAACTTAGACTCTATTTTAGCCGGCAGGATTGATTGAAATGTCCGAAAAATGACGCCAAAATACACCTTAAAAGTCCCATTTTATTTTCTTAAATCCCATTTTATTTTTTAATCCAAGGGCGAATTTACGGCAGAATTTGGTCCCTCAAATAAGGGACACGTGAGCTTTGATTCTAACCGGATACATTGCACTGGGTCGGGGAGATCGTTTGCTAAACTTCCATGTATCTTTTGTTCAATGGGTACCTGTACTTCGAACATTCGCAAGTTTTCCTTGGTAGTGCGAGACAGCTTTGTCTTTTGACCTATTAGTTTTGTGCTGACCTCTTCTCTGCGTCTTGATGTTTTGTTTTGCTTGTCATAATACTCACTGATTGATGGCTTTGTTTAGATTTTGAGTTACAACTCGGCCACGACCTTTGCTTTTACCGTGAAACATGAGTCAATTGACGGACATTGCATTTTTTAAAAACTAATGAAGCACACTGTCTATCATCCCCATTTTTTCATTTGCTGATTTCTATTCTGAAAAATTCGACCGTCCGAAAATGCACCTTAATTTTGACTCTAAAAACATGTCACATCTCTAACACCAATTATTTAAAACCGGTCGAAATTTTAGAGTTTTTACGGTACTTTAGATATCAGTGTGAAAGCTTAAAATTGGTTAATTATGCAAATTAGGTAATTAATATGTACAGATTGTAACCCACAATTATTCAGGTCTGTCTATTGTCCTACAGCATCCATGTACATTCATTGATATGTGATGTATAGTACCTGAGATATCAGTGTGAAAGTTGGTTAATTATGCAAATTAGGTGATTAATATGCACAAATATTTACCGGAAACTAATTGGGTCTGCATAATTCTAGATTCATTGAAATGTGATGATTAGTACTTTAGATATCAGTAGAAAAGCTGAAAATTAATTATAAATTAGTAATTAATATGCACAATTATTCCCTAAAACTAATCAGGTCTCTGCATAGTCCTAAAGATCTATGTACCAAGTTTCATTGAAATGCGATTAGTACTTGAGATACCCGTGGAAAAGCTGAAAATTAACTAATTATGCAAATTAGGTGATTAATATGCACAAATATTTATTGGAAACAATCAATCTCTGCATAGTCCTTGAGTATGTAAGTACCAAGTTTCATTGAAATGTGATGATTAGTACTTATATCAAATGCTGAAAATTAATTAATTATGCAAATTAAGTAATTAATATGTACTGATATTACCATAAAAACTATCAGGTCTGTGCAGTGTCATATGACATCTATGTACCAAGTTTCATTGAAATGTGATGATTAGTACTTGAGATATCAGTGGAAAAACCGAAAATTGACTAATCATTATGCAAATTAGGTGATTAATATGCACAAATATTTATCAGAAACAAACAATCTCTGCATAGTCCTTGAGTATGTAAGTACCAAGTTTCATTGAAATGTAATGCTCACTACTTATATCAAATGCTGAAAATTAATTAATTATGCAAATTAGGTAATTAATATGTACTGATATTACCATAAAAACTATCAGGTCTGTACAGTGTCATATGACATCTATGTACCAAGTTTCATTGACATGTGATGATTACTACTTGAATAATCAAAAGCTTAAATTTAATTAATTAGGCAAATTAGGTAATTAATATGTACTGATATTACACTAAAACTATCAGGTCTGTGCAGTGTCCTATGACATCTATGTACCAAGTTTCATTGAAATGTGATGATTAGTACTTGAGATATCAGTGGAAAAACCGAAAATTGACTAATCATTATGCAAATTAGGTGATTAATATGCACAAATATTTATCAGAAACAATCAATCTCTGCATAGTCCTTGAGTATGTAAGTACCAAGTTTCATTGAAATGTAATGCTAACTACTTATATCAAATGCTGAAAATTAATTAATTATGCAAATTAGGTAATTAATATGTACTGATATTACCATAAAAACTATCAGGTCTGTGCAGTGT